TTCCTACTTGGAAGTCACTGAACTTAGCTTGTCCCACTTGCCACTTTGGAACCGTAAGTCCCTTCACCCTCTATGCCTGCTTCCCAGTTCAGGAACAGGAATAGTAAAATGAGTCCATATATGTAAAAATGAGTCAATACAGGTAAGGTATTCCAAACAATTCCTAGCATACAGTAAGCACTATTTATTTAAATGATGACAAAAGAATCACTTTTACTTAGGCTATAGCAAGGATTATGTGAAATAACACACATAAAAGCATTCAGTACCAGTGCCCAACACAAAACAAAGGACATAATAAATGCTTGTTTAAAAAAAAAAAAAAAAAAAGACCAAATATCCATCCATCAGTCATTTCGTGGGTGGAAATCTATCAATAATCCTCTAGCTTCCTTGAAAATACTCGAGAATATAATCAGACCAAAAGCTTGTGTTTGCATCTTACCTCCGCAGCCATGAAAGCCATTCAGGTATACATTTTAACAGTAAGGCATATATGTATTTACATTGTGTATTCACCTCCCATAGTTAGATTTCTTTCTGTCACTGCATATTTGACCCCTTTTACCTCGTCTACCTCCCCCCTCCCCCCTCCCCTCTGGTAACCACTAGTCTATTGTTCATGTTTTCTCATTTCTTGAGGTAGGCTTGTATTGCTATGAATTTCCTTCTTAGGATTGCTTTTGCTGTGTCCCATAGACTTTTGAGTTGTTGTGTTTTCATGTTCATTTGTCTCTAGGTATCTTTTTGATTTCTTCCTTGATCTTATTGATAACCCATTTATTGTTTAGTAGCATGTTATTTAGCCTCCATCTGTGTGTATTTTCCTTTTTTTTTTCTTGTAATTGATTTCTAGTTTCACACCATTGTGATCGAAGAAGACGGTTGATATGATTTCATTCTTCTTAAATTTATTGAGATTTGTTTTGTGTCCTAACGTGGTCTGTCCTGGAAAATGTTCCATGTACACTTGAGAAGAATGTATATTTTGCTGCTTTGGGGTAAAATGCTCTGTAAAGATCTATTAAATCCATCTGGACTAGTGTGTCTTTTAGGCTTATTGTTTCTGGGTTGATTTTTTTCCTGGAAGATCTGTCCATTGGTGTCAATGGAGTGTTAAAGTCTCCTACTACAAATGTATTACTGTTGATCTCTCCTTTTATGTCAGCCAATAATTGCTTTATATATGTAGGTGCTCCTGTGTTGGGTGTGTATATGTTTACTAGGGTTATGTCCTCTTGATTTATCGATCCATTTAGCATCATATAATGCCTTTCTTTGTCTCTTATTATTGCCTTTGTTTTAAAGTCTATTTTATCTGATATAAGTATTGCTACCTTGGCCTTTTCTTTCATTTCCATTTGTGCAAAATATCTTTTTCTATCCTTTTACTTTCGGTCTGTGTCATTTGATCTGAAGTGGGTCTCTTTTAGACTGCATATGCATGGGTCTTGTTTTCTTATCCATTTGGCTACCCTATGTCTTTTGATTGGAGCATTTGATCCATTTACAGATAAAGTGATTACTGATAGGTACATAGCTACTTTTACTTTATTATTCATATTTGTTTGTTCTATTTTCTTTTTTATCCCCCCTCTTTTTATAAGACCTTTTAACATATCTTGTAATATTGGCTTGTTGGTGATGAATTTTTTAAGCTTTTCCCTGTCTGGGAAGCTCTTTTTCTCACCTTCCATTTTAATCGAAAGCCTTGCTGGTATTTGTGGTTGTAGATTCTTGTGTTTCATAACTTTGAATATTTCTTGCCAGTCCCTTCTGGCCTGCAAAGTTTCCATTGAAAAATCAGCAGACATTCTTAAGGGAGTACCCTTGTAACTAACTAGCTTCCTTTCTCTTGCTGCTTTTAAGATTCTCTCTTTGTCTTTGGGATTTTAATTATGATGTGTCTTGGTATAGGTCTGTTTGAATTCCTCTTGTTTGGGACTCTTTGTGCTTCCTGAACTTGTTTGTGTAATTCCTTTGCCAGGTTAGGGAAGTTTTCTGTCATCACTTCTTCAAATAGATTCTCAATCCTTGTTCTCTCTCTACTCCTTTGGATACGCCTATGATTGGGAAATTTTTATGCTACATGTTGTCTCAGAGTTCTCTTAAACTAACCTCATTTAAAAAAAATTTTTTTTCTTTTTGTTGTTCTGATTGGGTGTATTCTGCTACTTTGTCTTCCAGTTAATTCACTGATTTGGTCTTTTGCTTCATCCAATCTACTGTTGAATCCTTCTAAGTGTATTCTTCATTTCAGTTATTGTATTCTTCATTTCTATCTAGTTCTTTTTTATGGATTCTATGTCCTTTTTTATGCTTACAGTTTATCTCTCTGTTGAGGTTCTCATTGTGCTCATCCATTTTCTTCATAAGTTCGTTTAGCTTACTTATAACCATTATTTTGAACTCTGTCTCTGGTAGGTTGCTTGCCTCTGTTACATTTAGCTTATTTTCTGGAGTTTTCTCCTGTTGTTTCCTTTGTGGCATGTTTCTTTATTTTATCATTTTATTAGTCTCTCTGTGTTTGTTTCTATGTGTCAGAAATATTTGTTTCGTCTCTCAGCCTTGGCCAGATGGCCTAGTGTGGAAGGTGTCCTGTGTGGCCCAATGGTGCACTCTCCATGCTCGCCTATGCCAAGGGCTCTAGACGTGATCTTTGTGTGGGTTGCGTGTGATCTTTTGTTGTCTCCAAGACTTTATTGTTGTTAGTACATCAGTGGATGGGATTAATGCCCTGGCTAACTGTGATAATTGACTGCGCCCACAGGGTAAGAGTTGCTAAGTGGGGGCCGACCCCACTGAGTGAGATTTGCCCTAGCAGGCTTGTGTACTTGTTACAACCACTCTTTGTGTGTATCACTAATGGAACTAATCAGGAGTTGCTCCGTTGTGGCCTGGTGCCATCCTCAATATGCTTTGGTTTTGTGGCCCCTTGGGAGGACTCCTCCGTAGGCCAAGGTCAGCTATTGCTTTTGATTGCTCAAGGCTACCTTGTGGGAGCTACAAAGCGATCCGCAGATGGCTGTTGCCTATGCCGGATCTATGGGTAAGTGGAAGAGACAATGCAATAGGCAGTGGTCCGGTTATTCCCCGTCCCTGACCTAGGGCAGTTTAGCAGGGGGACCAGTGCTCCTCCAGGTTTGACATTGCCTGTCAGTTGCCTGCAAGTCTCTGAAACTGGAAGAGCCTCTGGGTGATAAGTGTGTTGGGTGGTGTAGGGACCCGGGAATCTCCTGAATCTGTTGAGCAAATTTCCCCTTGCTACTGCAATGTCAGTTTACATGCCAGTGCTGTCTCTGTAGCTCCCTGTACAAGTTTCTAGTTTTAGCAAGGCCACCTGCTTCCCACCTTGGGCCTGAATGTGCCACCCCGAGGTAGGGGCAGCTGTCTATCAATGTGCAGCGGGCACTTTGTGTATTGGATGGGGCAGGGGCTCAGGGAGTCAAGGGCCGTCAGGCCAATAGCCTGTTTTCTGCACTTTCTATCTCTGCACGTCCCTGCAGTAGTCAGTCATAGATCACATGGAGACAAGCTGCTGTCTGGGCAGTCCCACAGACCCCTGCGATCCCCTCAAGAGATATTGCAGCTCGTATAGGCAGCAGTGGTCTGCCCACAACTGTTTTCCCTGAAATGCGCTCACTGTGCTAGCCAAGGTCTATTGCCTGCGCAGATTGCTCAACCCCAGAGCCAAGCAGGGCACGGGAGACTGCTTGTCAATGGGCTGCAGACACTTTGTGGCTTGGGTGAAGTGGGATCTCAGGGAGACAAGGGCCATCCAGCTGATACAGCCTCAGTTTTCCTGCAACATCTGTGCCAGCACGATCCCGCTATAGACAAAGATCACAGTGAGACCAGCTGCTGTCTTGGACAATTCCACTGACTCCTGCGCTCCCAGGAAGCAATATTGTAACTCGTGCAGCTAGCAGAGTTCTGCCTATAACTAGTTTCTCTGCAGTGCCCTCCTTGTCCTAGTCAAAGTTTGTTGCCTGTGTGGACTGGGAGAGCATGGGAGGAGGGTCAGGGCAGTGGCTGTTCACTGTCAATGGGCCGCCTGGGGCAATTTGCAGATTGGGTGAGGTGGGGTCTCAGGGAGACAATGGTCTTCAGGTCAGTACAGCCTTAGTCTTGCTGCAACTTCAGTAACTGTTCCTACGTTCCCAATAAGAGTACCAGATTACTGCAAGACTATCTGCTGTCTGGGACTGGCCCATGGATCCCTGAGATCTGCCCAAGTTTGTGTTGGCAGCAGTGATCTGCCTGAAACTGTCTCTGAAATGCATGCTCATAGCACTGGCTGCCAGCTGTGAATGTTTGGCCCTGTGGCATCCATCTAGCAACAGAAGCCCAGGACAATCTGCAGGTTGAGTGAGGTGGGCTGATCTCCTTAGGCCAAGGCTTCCTATTGGCTCTGTGGGAGGGGTCTGCAAAGTCCAGCTGGCAAGGTCTGTAGATTGCCAGATAGGGCAGCAGGACTAAAGCACAATGGTGGCTACCCTTCCAGCCCTTGTTCTGGCACCAGGTAATGCACACTTTCTCGGTATGAATCCCGTGAGAGCCTCTGACCCTTGCCAGTGTCCTGGCTCAGTGTCCGCAGGTCAGAGAGCCTGTGCGTGAGTCCTTCAAAGGAGCATCTAGGATTTCAGTCTCTGTCTCACCCAGATGGCCAGAATCCCTTCTGGTTTTTACAGTCTGAGTTATTGGGAACTCTTACTCCCTGGGCTGAGAAGCCCCAAAATGATGCCAGGACCCCCTTCTTCAGCCTTACTCTTCGTCCCAGTGATCCACTACCTGCAGGTGCGGGTCCAGCCCAATACATGACTTTGCCCCTCCTACGTGCTTCTATGTGGCTCCTCTTTTATATTATCGGAAGTACTTGTTATGATCAGTTGGACTTCAGGGGATTCTCCACATTGATTATTTTATAATTTGATTGTAATTTTGATGTGGACCTGGGAGGAGGTGAACCCTGCTTTTACCATCTTCCTTCTTCTTCCCAGAATTCGTTATTTCGATTTGACTCCTGATTGGTGGATTTCATTGTCAGGTAGTATTTTTATTGAAAGTTCATCGCCACTATATTAACTGTGTAAGCATTCTTAACAGATTTTTCTCTACCAAGTGTGCTTTTAGATCTGAAGTTTCAGTTTATTTATTTTCTTCATATCAAGAAAACAAATTTTTCTTTTATCTTTGAATCATTTTCTCTTTTTATTGAGTTCTTCACACAAGATACAGCAATTAGCCTTATATGGTGGTGTTTGTTTGTCTTCTTTATTTATTTATCTTTGAGTTTGTCTTTTTCCTCTCCATTCACTCTCATTACCTCCAGTGCTGATAATTCAGTCTTCAGCAGTGACCATTTAGTTCCATGTTTTTTCTAACTTATTCATGTGGCAGATGTATTGTTTTGGTCCTCAGTCGGTTTCCTTAGATCTGTATGCTCCCTTTTCATCTCATTTGACTGTTTTATTATCTCAATTTTTATGTTTGTTTTATTGACATCATCTTATTAAGGCATTCTATAGCCAGAAGCAATTATGAAGAGTTCCTTCTCTTTATATATTATATTTTCTTCTAGGTTGGCTCTTTGTCCATCTTCTATAACCTTTTGTTGTTATTGTTTTTTCTGTTTATAGTGTTTTCTTATTTCATTTGATGTTCCAGGTTGTATTCTCTGAGAAGCAGACTCTGAGATGTGGGGAAGTATATTGAGGAGCGCTCTTCTGAGCCTCTACAGTGGGGGAGTGAGGAATGCAGGGTTAGACAGAGGGAGCAGTTAGGCCATGCTACAATCACAATTAAGTATGATCCCAGAGCTTATGGAGCTGGGATGGCTCTACAGAGTTGTCCTGAATTGGGGTGGTGGGCCCTGGCTTTTCTACCGCTGCATAGACTAGCAGTTGGAATGCAGGCTGCTCTCAGAAAGGGGCTGTGCTATTGGCATGGCAACTTTCTTCAGCTGAGGATGTTCTTGGGCAACTGGGGAATGAATGCTTCAGTCCAAAAGCGGGTATCTGGGTGGCACAACCCAGCATCCATCCACTGGAGTTAAAGATAGGCTGATACTTTATTCTCTTCTTACCCTGTCTGAAATAGGTGTTTCCTTCTGACATGTAGATTGATAGCCGAGTGGTTTTTTTGTTTCATTTTTCAGTTTTTTTTGTTTGTTTGTTTTGTTTTTTGCGACTTAGCTCTTTATTCCAGCAAGGGCACAGCCCGCCTCACAGGGTGGCAGTTCTCCAGCAATGGCAAAGCACCCCCTTGCATGGCTGGCTTAGTTTTTTTTTATTTCTCTCTTTTGTAGTAGCCTGAGGGAATGACTGAGACCCAGTGAAGGATTGAGCAATAAGTGAGCCAGGTGAAATGGTATACTGCCTTAAGAATGGTGTGAGGTAGGGGTCAGGATTCTGTATCCTAATTACCTAGTGCCATTTGTTGAAAGACCATCTCTTCCCCATTGCTCTGCACTGTCATCTTTGTCATGAATCAAGTATCCATATATGTGTGTATCTGTCCCCATCTCTGTTCTCTTCCATTATTTTATTGGACTATCATTGTCTAAATGACACACTGTCTTATTTAACTTCATAATGAATCCTGACATCCAACAGAGTCATTTATCTTTGTTCTTTAAGATTATCTTGGGTAATTTTGCTCTTTGCCTTTTCTTTCAGTTTTAGGATCATCTTGTCAGTTTCCACAAAATACCTGCTGGTGTTTTTACAGAGAGTGTATTGATTTCATAAATAAGTTTGAGGGTAATGGGCTTCATTGCAGTATTGAGTTTCCAATCTATGAACTTTATTTAGTGCTTCTTGAATTTTTTAAATATTGATTTATAGTTTTCTCTGTAGAGGTGTTTCTTGGAAATCTTTTTATTAGATTTGTACCTGGGTATATTATTTAAAAAACCAAACACTATAATGAATCACCGTGTAGCCATCACCCAATTTCAACAGTTTTGTTACATTTATATCCCTTCTTCATTCAGCCTGACCATTTTCTTCCAGATTAATTTGAAGAAAATTAAAAATATTTCATCATAGGCATTTCAATATGTATTTCTAAATGATAAGAAGGATTCTTTTGTTTAAAAATACACCACCCCAATATCATTTCATACTAAAAAAATAAAAATAATTTTTTAAAATCCAGTTAGTGTGATTTGGTGTTTTATGGTGCTGTTGTAAATAATGTCTTTAAAATTTTCATTTTCTTTGTGTCTTTCTGATATATAATTAGTTTTCATATGTTCAGCTTGTATCCAGTAATCTTACTAAAGCTATATATTAATTCTAATAATTTATCTCCAGATTATTTTGGCTTTCTATGTATACAATGTTGTTTGTTAATATAATGACAGTCCACCTCAGGGGGCAATAGATGTTTGCCAGGTTTAGCAGCCATCAGTTTAAATGACGAAAAAGAAATGAACAAATGAAAAGTGAACAAATTTGATGCTAAATTTTCATCATATAAGACTAAAAAAGAAGTCTAAGACTTATAGACTGTCTTCAAGTTTTAAAAGTAGCTAAAATTATTTGTTATTCTATTTTTTTTGTAGTTTCCCATCACCAATTGTTCTTGGAATTGGACAGGTAAGTAAAAAAATTTAATCTTAATTAGTTGTCACTATACATGATGAAATTTAAGTGCTTTTGTTTAAGACTGTGGTATATACATTTATTCATCTGGCAGGGGACCAGAGGGTCATGATACTCTTGGTGAAACAATATGAAAAATATTGAAACGCTTTATTTCATTCTACAATTGAGGAACAGTTACATTTGTAGGAGAAACAACTACTCATTTTAATTTCCTTAATGGAATTTCATTACTTTAAAGCAAGGGGCCAGAAGCAAAGCCTGGTGGGTAACAAAGGAGTCGGTTGGGGCTCTGGTGGATCTGGGAGCATAGTTACCCCATGGAGGTGTGTACCTGCTATTCACTTTAAGCCACTGTGCCTGAGAGGAAAAAGTGTTGGGAAGATGAGGTGGAGCCCACTATCCCCTCATCATCAGAACTCTGAAGTTTTTTCAAAAGAAGTAAAGAATTTGAATTTTTACATCAGATCTCCCAATGCGTAAGTGCTGGCAATGGATTCCAGTTTTTATAAAACTCTCTCAGGGCCAAACAAAACTTTATATTTGCTTCCAATGGTTTGTGATTTTTGTTCTCAGGTGTAAAGTTGAGCTAAGATAAGCTTTCAGACTAACCCACTTGCCTGTTTCTGAAATTTCCCATTAATATTAATTTGTGGCTTGTTTCTTCCTTTGGTCATATGCTGGCGATTTTCAGTAGACAAGTGGTAACAGGCACATGAGATTTTTTTTTTTGGTTCTGGTTTGCTTTAATTTATAGGGAGAAAAAATTAAAATTATGGAAATTGTATCTGTTAACTAAATGTCTAATTATGAATATGCAAAAAACTGTCATTTATATGATTAAACATTGTGGTTAAATGTTTTGCTAATAAGGTACTCATTGTAACATTTATTCTTGTTAGCAAGAATAAATAACAAGGAAACAATATGTTTCCTTAGATCAAAAATGTATTTAAGTTTCAATGTGAAAATATGTAGAAAAAAGCACTTTACATTAAAGATCAGTGAATATGTGATAATGTGTCCTTTGTAATCCCTAATGCAAATAAATTCACTAGTTTGTACTCAATTAAGGTAAAGCCATTTTGGTTTGTAATTTTTTGGAGGAAGAGGTCAACAGACCTAATTTTATAAGTTCAAATTATAGAATATTTTAAATAAGTAATATATTTTTGTAAGAATTATAAAGTAAATCGTAAACCACAATTATAATTCAGGATGGGTTCCAGTTATATAAGTCTATTCTAAATATTAAGTTTGTAAACTCTTTGGGATCAAGGTTTAGGATTATAATCATGTTGAAAGAGTCCTTAAATTTTTGTATCCTAATATGGAGAAAATTGAGTAAGTTCTAAAATTTGCATATGAAAATGATGTTAAAATTTTAGTTTTATAATAATCTAGAGTATTGAAAATATACCTGGTATGCTCTAAATTAATAGGATTCAAATAAGACATTTTTGCAATACTGGCTAGATTGAAGATAAAAATTAACCCCCTTTGAAATTTGTTTTTCTGTTTTAATTTGCCATCTGTGAAATATTAGCCTTTATAAAAAAATACGTTTATGTGTGGAGTTTGTACCCCCTACCAATACCCCCACCCTCACTTTATGAGGGAGGGTGACCATATGCTTAGTACATGGGAAGTGTGGTCCAGGATCAATGAATGGCTTCACTGACAGTGGTCACTCTGCTCAGTTTTGGGGACATTGTTCCTTTTCCCCTCTGTCACTGTTCCTTGAGCCTCTTGAGATTGTGTATATATACAAGAGTTTATTTGATGTACTTTTTGCCCGTAGTTCTGATGGAATCCATAGTACGACAAGAAAAACAATTTTAATGTTTTTTCAAGAAATGGTTATTTTTTTGGAACCTAGGAAATGGATTTTGGATATATTTCTTTTTGATGAATCTCTTTCTTTCTAATGATATGTTTGTACCTCAAACAGTTCAGATATTTTGCTGAAGTTTCTTTTCCTCTCTTTCCTTTAGATGGCAGCTACCATAATGATATTGTATGTGTCCAAGCTAAATAAAATAATTCACTTCCCTGATTTTGACAAGAAAATTATTGTAAAGGTATGTGATGAAAAGTACATATAGCTCTTATGGAAGATATGAAAATACTATAGAATTTCACATTGATCTTAGAGTACTAGTCCATTTCTATGCACACTGTTCTCCTTGTGTGCACTAGGTAGAAACTTCTTAATTAAGATTTTATATCATTCAGTTGTCTATTAATGTAGCATAATAATAACAAAACTGTGTGTGTAGCATTTGACTTTAAATAGATATTGTGTGTCTTCTGAAATGGCAAAATCCTGTATCAGGGATTGTCAAACATTTTTGATAAAGCATCAGATAGTAACTATTTAGGCTTTGTGGGCCAGACCATTTCTTTTGCAACTATCCCATGAAAACAGCCAAAGATGATATGTAAATGAATCAGTGTAGTTGTGTTCTAATAAGACTTTATTTACATAAATAAGAGATGGACCAGATTTGGCTCTTAGGTCTTGAGTTTGCTGATCCCTGTTTTAAGTTTTTATTTTTAGCTTGAATTGATAAAAGCTATGAGTGGAATGAATAATACAATTTGATATACATAGAAATATGCAGTTTTTTCCATGATGGAACCAGAAACATGAGACCTGCCGTTCCTTCTTGGGAACGTGCAATGGAACTAACTTATTTAACAGTTGCTGGATGTCAGGCATTAGGCTAGGCATTGAATTCTTAGAGCAGTCCTGTGGAATCGGTGGTATTAAATGGATTATGATGACATTTTTGGATTTCGGGAGGTTAAATCAGACTGTTGGTTCCTTGAGAGTGAGGACCTCACATGGTTTGTTCACTGCTCTGTCTCCAAGGTCTGGAAAAATGCTGGCTTCTAGTACTGGATTATTCATCAGGCTGGTTTTTGGCATTGGTAATCAGGGACATCCACAAAAAAGAAAGACAAAATATATGAAGAGAAAGATAAAGTATACGAAAAATATCAACCCAGTCTTCCTAGGAAAAATCAGTATATTGTTGGGCTTACTTATACTTCGTTTATGATATACTATAATTTTTAAATACTTTAAACATTAAAAATTATGAAATATGACTCATGTAGCGAGAAAGGTATCATACATGAATATGTAATTGAATGAATAATTACTTATAATCATTTCCTAGGTCATGAGATGGGTTCACAAAATCCTCCTTACGCAAAAATTCTTCTCACTTTTGTAATAATAATTTTCTTTCTTTTTTAACATAATTTTTCTATATTTGTATGCATTCCTGAATTATGTAGTTTAGATTTACCTATTTTTGAACATTATGTAAAGGAATTAAACTGTGTTTTGTTTTGTATCTTGATTCTTTTACTTAATATAGTAGGATTCATCCATGTTGTTTTGTGTAGCTGTCTTCTTTTATTTTCATTGTATGAATAGAGTACTAAAATTTACTTATCTGTTTTAGTGCTTATGGTAATTTGGATTGTTTCTAGTTTGGGTGCTAGAAAAATAAAAAGTACTGTTCTGAACATACTTATAGTCAGATCTCTGTGTACCTGTATTATAGTCAGTTTGGGTGGCTCAAACAACAGAAATTTATTTTCTCACAGTTCCGGAGGCAGGAAGTCCAAGGTCAAGGTGTAGGCAGAGTTGGTTTCTGGTGAGAGTTCACTCAATGGGTTGTCTCACATGGCCTTTACTCTGTGCATGCACTCCTGACATCTCTTCCTCTTATAAGGACACTGATCCTGTTGGAGTAGTGCCCCACCCTTATGACCTCATTTAACCTTAATTACTTCTTTAAATGCCAAATCTCCAATATAGTCACCTGGAGGTTAGGGCTTCAACATGTGAATTTTGAGGGGACACAATTCAGTCCAAACCAGCACATGTGCATGAGTTTCTCCGGGAAATATATCAAGAAGTGGAACTGCTGGCTCCTAGTGTATGTGTACCTTTAACTTGATAGGTAATTATCAAGTTCTTCAAAGTGGTTGTACCAGTTTACACTCCCTACAAAAGTACACTTGTGTTGTTCCTCCTACTTGTCAATTCTTGGTATGTCAGTCATTTTTAAATGTGCTAATGTGATAGCAGTTTGACTTTTATTTGGATTTCCCTAGTTATTAATGAGGTTGAGTCCCTTTTCATTTTTTTAATGCCCATCGGGGCATCCTCTTTTGTGAAGTGCTAGTTCAAGACTTTTTCTATTGGGTGGAAATCTTTTTCTTATTGATTTGTATAGGAATTATAAAAAATATATTAATGATATTCCTCTTATTAGTTATAAACAGTATTACAAATACATTTTATCAGCCTTTTCCTTTACGATTAATCACTATTTTTGTTATTTAGGAAATTTTCTCTACTTTGAGATTATGAAGTATGTGGTTTTCCAGAATTAGGTTTTTAATTTGCTTAGAGTTGATTTTTGTGGATGATGTGAGGTCGTGGTCCAGTTTCATTTTTTTTCCCAAATGAGCACTCAGTTGTCACAGACTCAATTGAAAAGTCTGCCACTTATATTATGGTACTGTCACATATGCATAGGCTGTTTCTATGCTCTCTATGCTTTTTCATTTGTCTGTGTTTTCTGCACCATTACCACACAATCTCAATTACTATAGCTTTCTGAAAAATCTTGCTATTTGGGAGAGCAGGTCTTTCCTCTTCGTTCTTGGTCCTTCGCATTTCTATATAAATATTGGAAGCAGCTTGTCAAGCTTCAGAAAAATTACCTTTTGGGATTTTGATTGGGATTTTGTAAAACCTATAAGTCAATTTGGGCTAAATTGACATTTTTAAAGTATTAAATCTTTCAATCCATGAACATAGTATACATACACCTTCTTTAATTTTTTTCAGTAAATTTTATAATTTTGTCAGTAGTGTTCTAACATTTTTTGTTAGATTTATTGCAAGGTACTTCTTCATTTTATTTTATTCTATTTTTGCTATTGAATGTATCTTTTGAAAATATATTATTCGGAAAATAAGAGGGGCATATTTTTATATAGCTTTTGTGTATTGTTTTGTATCCACAAAATTATGGACTATTAACCATAATTTATTTGTAGTTTCTTTTGGATTTGTCTATATTCACAATCAGGTCATCTGCAAAAAGTGACAGTTTTGTTTCATTCTTTGCAACATTCTAATTTTTTTTACTTGCTTTATTCTCTATAGCATAGGACCTCCAGTTCAGTATTGATAGAAACAGTAATATTGGACATTATTGTCTGATCTCAAAGAGAAAGCTTTTAACAGTTCACCATTAAGTATCTTGTTTGCTGTAGTTTTTTTGTGGATACCTTTCATCTGTGATCCATTTATCATTTGCTGCATAACTTAATGACAAAACAATAATTATTGTATTATTTCTCACAGTTACTGTGGTTAAGGAATTCAGGAGATCTCAACTGGGTAGTTCTGGCTTAGGGCTTCCATATAGTTGCGGATAAATGAAGGCAGAGCTGAAATAATGATGGGAATGGGGGTTGATCAGGGCATCTGGGGGCTGGTTATGTATCTTTATATGTAATCTCAAGCCTGGCCATGTGGTCACTCATGTAGGCTATTTTGGGCTTCCTTACAAAATGACAGGCTCAGGTGAGTCCTAATGGTGGCTAAAGTCTTCAAGGGTCAGAATATGTCAGCAAGTGTCCCAGACTGCATTGCTTTTTATGACCTAACCTCAGAGGTCACACAGCGTCATATCATTTCATTATTATTTGAAATAGTCCTATCCAATTTTACGAGGAAGGGTCATAGAGCCTACCTCTGGATGGAAGGAAGTGTCAAAGTCATATTTTAAGAGCATGTAGGATGGGAGATATTACAGCCATTATCTCTGATTGTGGATTTGCCTATTTCTCTTGGTATTTCTGTCAGGTTTTTTGTTTTGTTTTATTTATTTTGAGGCTTGTCATTGAGTGCCTAAAAATGTAACTAGTTAAGTCTTCCTGGTGAAGTAAAGTATATAATTATATGAAGTGGACCTCCTCTCTTTCAGTTTTTTTAGTGTGACCCTGGAAATTATACTATGCATACCTGGCTTATTAAATTCTAAAGCTGATTAATAAACGTACTCTCCCCATCAACAATGCAAAGACTTTCACCTATTTATCTCTCTTCCCAGCTTATATGCTCTTGTCAGCAGGTACTTTAATACATGCTCTACCTTTATTTAAAATCTCACAATACATTTTTATTTTCCTTTTTAAAAAGCTATCAATGTTTATTCATATTTACCCATATATTTGCTGTTGCCTTTGCTTTTCTTTCCCTCTTTCATCTTATATTTCTTCTGACTGAAGTGCCTCCTTTAGAGCAGAGGTCCCTAATCCCTGAGCGGTGAGCTCTGGGCAAGGAGGAAGAAGCTTCATCTGTATTTGCAGCCGCTCCCCAGAGCTAGCATCACCGCCTCAGCAACACCTCAGATCATCAGGCATTAGATTACTATAAGAGAACCTGTCCTTGGTGCCAAAAAGGTTGGGGACGGCTGCTTTAGAGTTTACTAATGGTCTGCTGGTGATGAATTCCCTTAGTTTTTGTGGTGTTTGAAAAAGTTTAAATTTTTCTTTTGTTTTTGAAATGTATATTTGTTGACAGAATTTTGCAGTTGCAATTCAGGTGTCCTCTGGTTTCTGTTGTTTCTCTCTGGGTTTATGTTTTCCTTTAAGTTTTAGCCTGGGAATTTCTATTTTCCCCATCCTTTCATGCTTTTATGAAGGTTTCAAGTTATTTTATCTAGCATTTTTAATTGTTTTCAGCAGAGGGATTAGCACAAATAATCTAGCCCACTGTTACCAGAAACTATAAGTCAGTATTGTTTTCATTTTGAATTTTTTATGGAAATAGAGGCAACTGATTCTTTTCAATGCCTGAGAACCTCTAAAGTTGTATTATCACCAGCTGTGTTATTGTTGAGTCAGTTGCAGGCTGTTAACCAGAATGTTGAGGAATATAGGGGAGGGTCCTGGATCTCTTAGCCTCTCTTTCTTAAATCTACTTTCTTGAGCAAATCTACTGATAATAGAATTCTATAACTTTTTTTTTTTGGCACATAACAGTATTTCAGAACGCTTCAAAGGATATCTTAGATATCTGAGTTGCATGCTTAATGTCTTTTTAGTGGAAAAAGAAATGTTGGCATCACTCATCTTGATCGCTGCGAACTAATGTGTCAGAAAGTTCTTAAAAGTTGTCATGTGACCTTACGAAAGGATATATACTTTTTTCACTTAAGGAAGACCAGGTCTTACATTTTGTTTGTTTCTTCAGTATGTTCTGAACAATATTTCTCTTGACAGTCAGAAAATAATTCAGGAGCTCGGAGTTCAGTAATTCAAGTACAGGGTACATTGTTTGCCTTTGGTAGATATTTAATCATTCTAGGCTTGTAAAACTAAGTGACTTCAAAGTAGAGTTGCTGGTATACGCAACTTTTTGAAGGGGTCACCAACCTTGTGACATTCCAATGAGAGATATGAACCTTTGCCTTTGTCCAGAAGAGTGTGTATGTGCACAGATAACAGAAGTTTGCATACCTTTTTATGGCCTTCAGAACTTCATATGTAAACTGTAAACATCCATCCTCAACTCACCAACCCAGCCAGGAGTCTCTACTCAAGAAGGTCCTTGTCCTTGTATAGTCTACAAACATGAGCAAGGTCAGGATTTCTGTTTCTATACAGCTCCCCCCAGGGTTATGGATATCAATGCCCACCTAACTTGATCACATGGAGAAACTTGTAAAGGTGTTTGGAATTCTGGACAGTTCACAGTCATTGCATGGAAAGGAACTCAGTGATTTGCTTACTGCTGAGGAGTGAATGTCACCATTTTTATATATAAAGGAAAATATGTAATTGGAGTTCTAACCAGATGTTCTTTCTCTTTTTATTGAAGCTGTTTCCCCTGCCTCTCTTCTACGTTGGAAACCACATAAGTGGATTATCAAGCACAAGTAAATTAAGGTAGAGTGCAAGATAATGGTTGACGGGAGGTTCTTCACTTATTTGCTTCTCATGGTACACAGACCAAGTTTGATTTTTTAAGATATTGCTTGGACTACATAGAGAATGCAATAGTATTTAATAATTTTAGAAAATAACAGAGTTTGAGATAACTTTTCTAATGCTTTGAGAAATGTTAAAATGATTTTTTTTATTGTTTATGTTCAAATCTGAATGTAGAATATGAGATCTCTAAAAATCAAGATAATGGGATGATTTATTCAGGAAGATTCACTTACATGAATGTGGTTCTGTGTTACTTTTGGTTTCATCACAGGTTTTAAAAAGCAGGAACATTCTGTCAGATTTGTGTAGGTCAGGTTTGGTACTGTGAAAAATAAATGACAGACATTATTTTCAAGTGTGTACTATATACTTCTGAAATTTGCATTTGCATTCATTTTAGGGTCTTTAATTAACTACTTTTGTTAAAAGTCACTGTAAAAAATGAAAAATGGAAGTATAGAAAGACCAAGCCATCCTATAAATCAGAAAATGTGGTATGAAATATGTAGCCTAATAAACAAACATTAATGTTACCAACCTATGACAAAGATGTCATTAATGAGAAAATTAAGTTTGCGCAAAGGGTGGTAGAAATGGAAGAAAACCTGTTTGTATAGTGAGAGTGGAAATGAGATGGGTAGGAGGTAGATCAGAAAGAGGAGGACATATAAAATAGAGAAATGTGAAATTAGGCCTGTTGCCTTTTGCTCATTTGGAAAGGACAAGTTGTGGCTGTGAAAACCAAAATGTGAAATACTGTTTTTAGTTATATGTTTTAGTTGGTTTGTTGTTTCCTTTTGGGATTAGGACAATCATTTTTTCTTAGACTTCAAATTTGTTTTAAAGCTTCCTGTGGTAGATGCTGTTGCCATGTTGCTGTGTGACCTCGGCCTTTCTTGGAGTTCATCTGCAGCTCTGGGGTGTGCCTTTAGTTAAAGATGACAGCTCCCTCCTCTAGCATTGGGGGTCTCTGCCTCCCAGATGAGGGCTGCTCCTTTGCTTTTTTTTTTTTAGTGATGTAATTAGAAACAACTTATTTTAAAAAACTAAATTTATAAGGGTAACATTGGTTTGTAACATTATATAAATTTCAGGTGTACAACTTTAAAATATGACATCTGTATACTCTATGGCGTGCTCACCATCTAGAGTCTAGTGTCCTTCTGTCACCATATACTTGACTCCCTTTACTCTCTTCATCCTCTTGTCATCCTCCTTCCCCTCTGGTAACTGCCATTGCATGGTCTCTATCTATGAGGTTTTTTGTTTGTTTTATTTGTTCATTTGTTGCTTTTTGTTTTATATTCTGCATTTGAGTAAAATCATACAGTTCTTGTTCTTGACTTATTTCACTTAGCATAATACTCTCAAGATCCATCCATGTTGTCACAAATAGCAGTGTTTCATCTTTTTAATGGCTTAGTATTATTGCATTGCATATATGTACCACATCTTTGTTGTCAAATCATCCATGAAAGGATACTTAGGTTGTTTCCATGTCTTGGATATTGTAAATAATGCTTCAGTGAACATAGGGGTACATATATCTCTACAAATAAGTGTTTTCAAGTTTTTTGGGTAGATACCTAAAAGAGGGATTGCTGGATCATATGGTAGGTTTATTCTTAATCTTTTGAAGAATCTCCTTACTGTACCAGTTTACATTCCCACAAGCAGTGTTAAAAGGTTTCCCTCTCCAACATTTATTCCTTGTTCTGTTATGATAGTCATTGTAACAGGTGTAAAGTGGTATCTCTTGTGGTTTCCATTTGCATTTCCCTTATAACTAGTGATGTTGAGCATCTTTTCATATATCTTTTGGCTATCTATGTGTCTTCTTTGTAAAAGTATCTATTCAGGTTTGGATATTAGCCCCTTATCAGAGGTATCATTTGCAAATTCCCCATTTGGGTGATTGTCTTTTTGTTTTGTTGATGGTTTCTTTTGCTGTACAGAAGCTTTTTAGTTTGATGTAGTCTCTTCCATTCATTTTTGCTTTTATTTTCCTTGACTTTGGGGTCAAGTTCACAAAAGCCCCCCTGAGACCTAAGGTCCATAAATTTAGTGCCTGTGTTTTCTTCCATGTATTTTATTGCTTCAGGTCTTATATTCAAGACTTTAATCCATTTTGAGTTAATTTTTGTGTATGACGTCAAGGAGCAGTCTAGTTTCATTCTTTTGCGTGTGACGTTACAGTTTTCCCAACACCATTTATTGAAGAGTCTTTCCTTTCTCCATTGTATGTTTTCGGCTGCTTTGTAGAAAATTAGTTTCCCATAAATGTGTGAGCTTATTTCTGGGCTCTCAATTCTGTTCTATTGGTCTGTATATCTGTTTTTCTGCCCAGACCATTACCGTTCTGAATTTTCATTTACTTGATACAAGTACTTTATCAGATACTTGTTTTGCAAATATTTTCTCTCTGTCTATGGTTTGTTTTTTCATCCTCTTAATACTGTCTTTCACAGTAGCTATTTTAAATTTTAATGAAGTTCTGCTTTCATTTTTTCTTTTATGGGTTGTGCTTTTGGTATTATATCTAAAAACTCATTACCAAACCCAAGGTCATCTAGATTTTCTCCTAAGTTATCTTCCATAAGTTTTATAGTTTACATTTTACATTTAGCTGTATCATCACTTTGAAGTTAACTGTTGTGAAAGATGTAAGGCCTGTGTCTAGATTCAATTTTTGCTTGTGGATGTCTAGTTGTTTGAGCACCATTTGTTGTGAAAACTATCTTTTCTCCATTGAATTGTGTTTGCTCGTTTGTCAAAGATCAGTTGACTATATTTGCGTGGGTTTATTTCAGGACTCTCTATTCTATTCCATTGATCTATTTGTTTCATTTACCGTATGTTTCAGTTCATTAAGAAATAATTCTTTTGATGCTCAAATTGTACCGTGTCAGGCCATTGGGAGCCCCATTGGGAGCCTCTTATATTCTAGGGCCCCAGTGGTTTTTGATTACTTCCTTGCTTTCTGGTACATGATGGCCCAGGCTTATCTAGACTTTTCTCGTTGTTTCTCCAAGGATTCCCTGGTTATTTTAAGTGTTATTTTGAGGCCATAATCTGGGTAGTGGATGTATTTTGAAGGAAGGGCTAGCTAACACAGTATCCTGACGAATACCATGCGGGGTCTGAGAGAAAGAAATGAGTCAAAGTTGACTTCATGATTGCTGGCCTGATGATGTGGAAGAATGGGATTACCATCGATTGGGTCTATACCTAGTAGGATTACTGGGTCGTATGGCAATTACGTGTTTGACATTTTGAGGAGCTGCCAAACTGTTTCCTAGGTGGCTTCACCATTTTACATTTTGAAAGGCAATGTATGAGGCTTTCAATTTCTCTGAATTCTAGCCAAATTTGTTACTGTCTATCTTTTTGGTTATAGCAATTCTAGTGATTGTGAAGTGGTATCATATCGTGGTTTTGATTTTTACTTCCTTGATGACTAATCATGGCTAATGTCTTTTCATGTGCTTTTTGGCCATTTATATAACTTCTTTGGGGGAATGTATATTCAGATTTTTGCCTATTTTTAAAATAAGGTTATTTATCTTTTTATTATTGAGTTGTAAGCCTTTATATAGTCTAGATACAGGTCCCTTATTATAGATATGATTGCAAAATTGTCTTCCATTCTGTAGAGTAGATTGTCTTTTTACTCTCTTAATGGTAAACTTAAGAGCACAAAAGTTTCAAGTTTTAAAAAATTTAATTAACAATTAGTGTAAAATATACATAACAAAATGTACCATTTCAATCATAGACATATTTTGAAATTGATATATATATATACACACATAACATAAAATTTACCATTTTAACCAGTGTTCAAGTCAGTGACACTAAGTATATTCATGATGTTGAGCAACCATTACCACTGTTTGTTCTAGAACTTTTTCATTATCCCAAACAGAAACTTTGTTCCTATTAAACAGTAACTCCCCATTCCCCTTACCCTAGCCCTTGGGAAACTCTGTTACTCTCTATCTTTATTCTTGATTTTTCATACAAGTGGAATATCATACAATATTTGTCCTTTTATATCTAGTTTATTTCGATTTGCAGGTTTCCAAGCTTCATTCATGTTGTGGCATGGGTTAGAATTTTATTCCTTTTTAAGGCTGAATAACATTCTATTGTATGTATATATCACATTTTGTTTACCTTTATAAAAGTTTTACATTTTGATGAAGTCTAATATATCTGTTTTTTCTTTTGTTGCTTGTGCTTCTGGTATTGTACCAAAAATGTTTTGCAAAACCCAGGGTCATGAAGACTTATTCCTGTGCTTTCTTCTAAGAGTTTTCTAGTTTTAGCTCCTACATTTAGGTCTTTGATAGATTTTGAGATAATTTTTTGTATGTGGTGTGAAGTAGGGATCCAGATTCATTCTTTTGCATGTAGATCTTTAGTTGTCTCAGCATCATTTGTTGAAAAGACCGTTCTTTCCCTGTTGTATTATTGTCTTGGCACCTTGTTGAGAATAATTGACTATAATCGTAAGGATTTATTTCTTGATTATTAATCTTATTCCATTGATTATATGGCTAGCCTTAAACCAGTACTGGTTATCATAGCTTTGTAGTGAGTTTTGAAATTGGATATACCAACTTTGTTCTTCTTTTTAAATTTTGTTTTGGCTTTCTGGTTTTCTTACATTTCCATATTAATTTTAGAATCAGCTTGCCAATATCTGAGGGAAGGAAAGCCAGCTGAGATTTTGATAGGGATTGTGTGAATCTATAGATCCATTTGGGAAGTATTTCCATTTTAACATTAAGCCTTCTGATCCAGAAACATGGAGTGTCTTTCCATTTAATCATCTTTAACCTTTTAATAATATTTTGTAGTTTTTAGTGTATAAGTCTTATACTTCTTTTGTTAAATTTATTCCTAAGAATTTTGTTCTTTTTTATGCTATCAGAAATGGAATAGTTTTAATTTCCTTCTGGGATTGCTCATTGCTAGTGTATATAAATACAACTGATTTTGTATATTCATTTTGTTTTCTGCACACTTGCTTAACTCAGTTGTGATAATTTTTAATGGGTTCTTTAGGATTTTCTGTATCTATCACCTGCAAATAAAGATAACTTACTTTTTTTTAACCTAATTGTTCTGTCTAGAACCTCAAGTATGATAGTGAATAGACATAGTAGTGAGAGAGAGCCTCCTGATCTTATTCCTGATCTTATGGGGAAAACATGTAGCTTTTGATCATTAAGTATACATTATCTGCTTTTAAAAGGCATTATCTAAAAATACTTTTTGAAGTCTATTGAAAATAATAACATTTTTTTTTTCTTGCTTTGAAAAAGGCAGTTCAAATCAGTCTCATAAGATATCTTTAAATGTGGCTATAAAGTTCCTGAACATTCTTTTTGCACTTGGCCTCTGGTTACAATGTCACTATTAGTGTGAAACCCTTCTGCAAGTCTGGTCGGGAGGAGTTGGCTACTCTCCCTCTTGGTTGTGGTTCTGACTTTCCTTCCCAAGGTCACTGTCTTCTCAGGATCACATCTGGAAGCAGATGGAGGCGGGTTTCTAGCTCTGGCAGTCTGTTGGCCGTGCACTGAGCTGTGTCCTAGAATCTCTGGTTTTAAGAGTGGGTAAAAGGTTCTTAAATATTTTTTTAAAGGCACTGAAGGTAACCTCATTACATAAAGTTTTGGAGGAAAAGTCATTGGTAATTCTTTCCACTAACACACTACTTTAAATATTTATTTTGTCTTTTTTGCATATACAGAATGTACCTTGTTATAGTTGCAGACTCTACATTGTTTTGTATCTTCCTTGTTTAGTTAATTTACTTTCCAATAGTGGTAAAGTTTTATAATATATTACATACATACATACATACATAATGTTTCCCCAACAGGATTTATCATAGCTTATTTATAATCATTGCCTTGCCTGACATTTGGTTGTTTCTGATGTTTCTCCCAAAGACACTACTGCGATGAACCCATTTGCGCATATGGTTTTTTCTTTTTTTTGGCTAAGTTTTTTTTAGGATAAGTTTCCCAACAAGAAATAATTAGGTTCAAGGTTAGGACCATTTAATGATTCTTGATAAATAGTCCCAATTTGATTTGCCAAAGAGTGTTTTGGTTCACATCGTGTATTAGTTTTAGCAAAATCTTTGTAGTGGTTGGATAGTGTGATATTTTAGATAGCTAATAAGTGAAAGTGGAATGAAATTTTTAATCTCCTTTTTTTTTTTACTGTTTAATGTTATTTGTTAATAGTATACATGAGAATTAAGGTTAATTTCTTATATTTAATTTGGAAAATTAGTGCCTTAATTAAAACCGTAAAACATGTTAAAATTTTTTTGGTGTCTGATGTTATTCTGCTTCAATCTTTTCCTGACAGCTTGCCAATGTTCACCGTGCTCAGGAAATTTACCATTCCACTTACTTTACTCCTGGAAACCATCATACTCGGGTGATTTTTGTTTTTTCTCTGTTCCTCTGGTGCCCTCTTTCCCCTCCCTGCATTATTTTTACATAGCAAATTCTCAACATCTATTTTTTTCCCCAAATAGTTGATTTGACTTGCTAGTAGCAATAACTTAAGGACAAATAGTTTATTAACGTAAAAGCAGTGTCCTGTTTTCATGAACTTAATGAGTGGCTTTTTAAATAGTTAATTTGCATTAGTCAAATAATACATGTTTGTGGTAGAAATTTATAAATCTGTAAATCTGTTTCCTGAGCCAGATGGAATATACACTGATTTTGGAATACAGAAGATAAATTGCCAGCGTATACATATAGGACAGGAGTGCAGAAATCAGGGAAATCCATTCTGATGCAGCGATTACAGTGTAAATCAGAATAAAGTAATTTTTATAATGATTTAAACATTTCTCATAAGAATTCTCAGGCTGATATCCAAAAAGGTGATTCCTGATTTTGCTGTGAAGATTATTTTGCAATGAAATTTGGATGATGGTCCAATTTTTTAAGTCCTACTATTGAATTTTATCTTAATCTTTGAATGTGTGGTCTAAGTTCATACCAACTACTCTACTAGCAGGAGCTGTTCTGCATTTTGTCTCGGTGTCTCTCTAGTGAAAACAGAGAAATATGTTTATAATTAGATTAAGACAACTGCTTAAGAAATGCAGTAAATTTGGTCAGATTTACTAATCCATTTAACAGATACTTTTAGCACTTTCTCTAGGTAAAGCATTATCCATTAGATTTTAACTATGAAACTGTTAATAATGTCTGTTTTCAGTTCATTTAAAAAATATAATTCACGTACTTTTCTCTCCTCCTCCTTGCCTTGTCTTTTTCTCTATCCATCTATCTACCCACCCATCTATTTATTTATTACAGGAAACAGTATTCCTTGAACATCATTGTCAGTGTCTTTGCCATCATTCTCGGGGCTTTCATAGCAGCTGGGTAAGACTTTGGACAGTTTCTGCTCAATAACTTCTTTGTGTCTTTGATAATAGGCCCAGCCCCATACTCATTTTTCATTTTCCATCTGGCTGCAGTTGAAATGAGCAGCCAAGAGACAAATCTGTTGATGTTAGTGGAATCCCCATATGTTTCTGTGAAAGTCCAACTGGATTCGAAGTTGACCATAACATTTCTCAGAATATATAAAGAGAGCATTATAAGATAATAATACAGCTTTTCTTCATAAAAAGGAGTGAACTGTTCACTTCTATTACTGAACGTCTTCAATGTAAAAATTTTACTTGAAAAATTCTTAGACATTTGATCAAGAAGAATAACAGAGGTATAGAGCCCTTGTATGCTGATTTGTTTATCCTGTAGTGTCTTGAAAGTCAGTATTTCCAAGGGCAGAATACTCTCATTAAATATATATTTGTATGTTTGGGACATGAGCCAATACCAGTGCATGACTCTACTATCTTACTCACTAATATGCAAAACCAGGAATGAGAACTCCACGTTTGCATTTCAAAGCAGGCACTCGGACTCCTATCTTTCATAGCATTGTGGTTAGAGCTTGTGTGCAGTTAACATTCCCTGGGTTCAAAACTTAGCCTTGCCCCTTCAGCTGTTTCTTAGCCTCTCTGTGCCTCAGTTTCCTCATCTATAAAGTTAGGACGATAATAGAAAATAAAAACCTACTTGAATGAAAGGAAGAATGAAAAATTTGGAGGAATTCTAGTTAAACTAGTTTCCTTAACTCATTTTGAAACGAATTCTGGATCATTAATTGTAAATTAAATAAAGATGTAGACTACAGAGCCAAGATTTCTGGGATCTTATTCTAGCTTCCTCACTTATTAGCTGTATAACCAGGGACAAGCTATTCAACCTCCCTGTTCCCCAGTTACTTTAACTGTAAAGTAGAGATTAGAATAGCATCCGCCAAATAGGGTCCTTGTGAGAAGTAAATGAGATAATAATAAACTAGGGTTTATACTAGTGCGTGACCAAATTCAACAAAAATGTATTGAGTGTCTTTCGTATGCCAGACATTGTTCTGGGTGCTGGGGAATCCAGCAGTTGACAAAACAGACAAGAATCCTTGCTTTCATGGAACTTCCATTCTAGTTGGTGGACAGATAATAACCAAAAGAAATAGACTTAAAACTATAGCATGCCAAATGAAGACAGACAATAATAACAATTTTATTATTATTATAAACGTGTTTAGTTTCCTGACTAGACCAAGATTTATTATTTACGATTTTATCTGTACCTTCCTCTTCTTCAGTCCTAGCTGGCCTCTCGGTTTCTGTGCTGTGTTTTGTGCCTCTGGTGTGGTGCCGGTATAGACATTAAGCGGCAGCACTTCGAGCCTCTTTTAGTCATGAAGACTTTTGCTCAAACAAAATCATATGAGTAAATTAGCTAAAAACGGGAGATGCTCTGTTGAAAAGTGCCCTCCTCCCACAGCGCTCTGGGGTCTCCCCTGGGTAGCCTCTCTCCTCTAGGTTTCTTAGAGTTCAATTTGAAAACCACTGACTTAGAGCCAGTTGAAGACTTTTACGAAAATGATTTATAAAAATATGTTAGGTGCTGGGTGAGGAATGGCACTTCAGATGCTCTGTGTATGGAGGCACATTTCCGGAATGAGTTAGTAGAAATTCAGCTCTTGTTTAATGTGTGTGATACTCTGATGATCTGTCAGGGTAACTGGTTTTTCCCAAAGCATCTAACTTTCACCCAAGAGCCAGCTTGGAATAGTAATTCTCAACTTTCCCCTTCCTCAGCACCCATAGAATGGATAACATCCTGGTGGATGACAAGTACATTTCTTAGCTGTAGGCCATCTGTGACCCCATCCTTCTCTCCTCTCACTGAATTTAAGTCGTACAAGTGCAAGTAATTGTAGAATGGGCTCAGCTGGATGAGCCAGTTTAAGCTGCTGTAATGAATAGTGGCCACATCTCGGTGGTTTAACATACCAAATACATTCTGTTCACTATGCATGCAAACCAACTACAATTAATGCTGTGGGAGTGATCTGCTCAGTATAGTTACTGTGGGATGCAGGTCCTTGGGACCCCTGCCTCAAAGGGGGTCTCCTTACTCATCCAGGCTGGAGGAGGGCATGTGTGGAATTGTGCACTGACTCTGCAATCTTTTGCCTAGAAGTGATGAAGTGTTAATCCCTCTTACAGTTTACTTGCCAGAGCACTTCACATGCCCAGAAAAAGTTGAAACAGAATGTCTGCGAACAGCTCTAAATGACAGCCACGAGAGTTAACCATATATCTGCTCATTTATAAACAAGTAAATTCTTAAACTTTTGTGTTTTCACTACTGGCCTCAACAAATGATGCTGGGAACTCCTACCTTCCACCCCTCCCCCCGCCATCCCAACCCTTACCCCAGTGGGAGACATGAGAACTCTGGGAATTTCTCTCAGCCTCCTGAGGAAGTGAAAAACACCTCCTTTTCGTTCCTCTAGAAGCCTGGCCTTTCTGCTCATTTAACTCTTCATCATTTTACAGAACGGCCAGCTTTTAAACACTGAGCCAAATGTAGGCAAAAGGTTTGGAAACCCTTATTTTGAGAGATTCTATTTTTGTGATTAAGCCAGAAAATTCTGATTTATGATGATCTAAAATTAATTTACATTCTTACAATTATATCTGTAGATAATAATGCCAGTGGAAGCCTCAAGTAAAATCTGGTTTAATTTGCATTCAGATTTTGATGCAGTTTTTGCCTTTCTCTACTTCCTTCTCTTTGGTTAGAAATAATCTTATTTTTATATGGAAGGGGATCAGAATATGCCACTCCAAAATACACCGCTTTGGCATAAACGTTATTTTGAGTTGAAGGCAATTGAGAATCAACAGATGTCGGAATTTTCTGTCCTCCCCTTTTCTGCCTAAAGACAGACCATAAATTTCCCTTTATGAATGTGTCCCCCTCTCTTGTACCAGGAATAGGAAAGCAGGTCTTATCACCAGAGGTGACGAGGCAGCACCAAGAAGAGTCTACATAAACAGACTTAAATAGTTGTTACCTTTCATTAGTTTTCCTCATATATTTCCTAGTCTCTTTCCTTTAATTTTTTCCTCAAAACTCAAACCCTTTTCTTTGTTAAAATGGTATATAAGCCCCAGAGTCTAATAGCTTCTTTGAGTTTCACTTCTCTGTAACCTTCTTCTTATAATTTGTGTACCTTGTTAATCTGTCTATTGTCAGTTAAATTTGCAGGCCCCCAGTCACTGAACCTAAGAGGGTAGAGGAAACTTCCTTGACAATGTATATGTATGAATTATGACAGGAGTTTGGTGCCATCTGCAAGGTCGAGTACAGGTAGATAAATCACATAATGGCTCAGCTGTTGTTCTCTCTCTCCTGATGCAAGACAGCATGAATCCCCCCAAGTGGGGACTCAAGTCCTGCACTGAGAGAGTCCGTGAGGGTCCTTGACTGCGCGCAGGAAAGAATTCAAGTGCACGCCAGAGTTAGTCTAAAGGAAAATTTATTAGAGAGAGAATAACGCTCCATAGTCAGAGCGTGTTTCTCCTCTTGGATACAGAGAATGAGAGAGACCCAAAGGAAAGTTTATTAGAGATAGAATAATGCTCCACAGACAGAGCATGATCTCCTCTCAGAATGAGAGGGACCCCAAGTGTTCAAGGAATTCAGTTTAAATCTGCTCCTTCCCCCATGGGTTCCACCATCAAATGCATGGGAAGGTAGTTGTTGGTAATCTCAGCAGAAAAATTCTTCGTTGTTTGTCCTTCTGGCTCTGTGTCAATCAGCCAGGTGCCCATGTCAGGCAGCACGTAGCAGGCTCTGCATATAGGTTGGTTTTAATATTTAATTCTCATTCCTCTTTCCTATATCGCTTCCTATGCCATATCCCCCCAAACATTTTTATACTAGTATTATTTATTTAAATGGAAATCAAAGAGAAGATGTTTTAAAAGAATAGGAAGAAGGAAACCTTAGAGGAGTTACAGGGAAGGGATAGGTTCTTGCTTTGCCTATTTGCTGAACAGGGTACTGAGGGAGCTGGTGGAGGATGTGACTAGGCACCAGATGGAGGTTTCAGTTCCTCAATTGACCTGTCTCGCCCGAGTCACTGCCCAGCTGTCTCCACAGGGCTGTACTCTAGGGATTACCCTGCTTACTACAATAAGCAAAGCCACTGTGTGTTGGACAAATCACACCCATTAGAAAAGCAAGGCTCACCAATTATCATGCTGATTTATCAGTTAGCAAAAGAAAGGGCTGTACAGTTAAAGAAGGTTAATGTCCCTCTGGTTTTCAGCCTCCTGATTAAGTGGAAGCCACCTGATAGCTTGGTTTTGTTTTTGTGGAGACAAAGCAGAGGAGTTAACCACTCACTACCAGAGAGGGGAAAACATGCCAGAGGAAGGCAGTTACTAGCCTCACAGATGGATTTGATTAGCGAAAGATGGAAAAAGACTTTGAGGCCAAGTTGTGAGTGTCTGAATAATCATCTTACTTTTCTGTTCTCTCTCCCAGTTCTGACCTTGCTTTTAACTTGGAAGGCTATATTTTTGTATTCCTGAATGATATTTTCACAGCAGCAAATGGAGTTTATACCAAACAGAAAATGGACCCAAAGGTACCAGATCTTCACTCCTATGGCTTTTAGGTTTTATCATCTGGCCCCTGAAATTACAGGAAAAAATAAAATGAATTTGTAAACTTGGCATGTATTAATTTACATAATATGAATTATAAATCACTAATTTCTTTTCGATGATCTTGTCTATATAGTCTATTACTCCTTGTCTCACAAAGTTTAGGGTGAAAATTAGATAGGAAGGAAAAAGATGCCACTATTTTTGATGCAAAGTCAATATATAAAGGGATAATTTTGAAAGGCGAATTAAAATTAAAAGTTTTTTTTTTTTTTTTTTAAATCATTATCATCAGGGTATTCTGAGAGTAACTTCAGCTTGAGAGTCTAGAGACATGGGTTCTGTATAAAAGTTTTGCTGCTTACTGGTCATTGTGACTTTGAGCCATAACTTCTCCAAACCTCAGTTTCCTCATAACTTCTCCAAACCTCAGTTTCCTCATAGATCATTGGAATGGATAATTTATAAGGTCCTGTCCAACAGTAACTGCCTTTCACTGTTATGAGGGGATGGTGGGCAGATGAGCTTTTCTTCTGAGTTGCTGCCTCTGTATGGAGACTCCCCAACCCACACCCCTACCCCAGCCATTCTGAAAAGCTCCCAAGGATGACCAGGCATACGTTTCTTTGTTCCAAGTTCTTTGTGTTGAGTGAGGGGTTCACTCTGATGGACAGGCTTATTTCTGTGAGCTGTTTTTTAAAAGCACTGTTTTTTTTCTTTTTCCCCTGCATAGCCATTTGTTTTTTAATGGTGGCAGTTTTACAAAAACAGGTTTATTGCCTTTTGAGAATCACAATATGTCACCCTTTATGGAAAGTGGCTGTAGCGACTTTAATGAAAAGTAAATATATGCAAAATTAGAAAATGAGATACCTAGTGTTTTAACCCTGCTGTTTTTTAATAGAAAGAGCAGATGTTTTTAAGGAGTTTTGTTTATATTAACATTTTTAATGATCTTTATTTTGTTCCAGATTTCCCATTTTTGATTAGCATGCTTTAAAACAAAAATTAGAATGTTAGAGACGGATGAAACACCGGAGACCATTCATTGCCATCCATTTTATCTCTCATTTTTGTGTATAACATGTTTATTCTGAGATTACAGCATATTTGAAATGAAGCATTTTATGTCATAAATTTGCTGAAAATATTCCAATACAGAGTGGGTCAGAACGCATATTCTAATTCTGTATAAATACACAGTTGTATAAATGGCTCCAGGAAATCTGATAGTTCATGTTTCTTTGTTTTTGCAGGAGCTCGGGAAATATGGAGTGCTTTTTTACAATGCCAGCTTCATGATTATTCCAACCCTTATCTTTAGTATTTCCACTGGAGACCTTCAGCAGGTAAGCTGATGATAATCATTACATTCTTACTTAGCAGTCTTTTCCAATTTTAATATTTAACCTTTGATACTCACTGAAATAAAAAGTGTAAAGGTATCTAGGATTCCATGAAAACAAGATGTTCGATATCCCCACTAATATCTTCGGCATTTTTCTCTCATTGACATTTACCTTTAGACACATGAGAAGTAGCAGAAAGTAGTCACAAGAACTCTGGACTGGAACTTTTTTGGAAAACAACAATAAAAATCTGAGTTTGAGTCTCACTACTCTTAGCTGATATGGGAGCCTGACTTATAAACTTGTAGCATGATGCTTTCCGAAGTTGCCTCTTGCCTATAATGAGTATCATGAAGAATTATTAAACTTCCTCATGTAATAAAAATAAAAGCTAATGTTTTTGAGGACTCATTCTATTAGACATTCAAAGTGTTGTACATGAGCCAGCTCATTGCATTCCCACAGCAACCCTCAGAAGAGAGGGTAATGTTATTATCCCCATTTTACAGAAGGAATCTAGGTCACAGGGTTTAAATAACTTCCAAGGACAGTAGGTAGGTAACAGATCCAGGCAGTCTGGCTCTGGAAACACGTCCTCTGCTATAGTTGCATTTATTTTGTTTGTATATGAAAAGTGATTGTTTCTTTCACGTATGAAAAAACATAACCTATCTCATATATCTTAGAAAGTACAAGAGGCCTAACATACACTTTAATTTATTAAATCCTGGCATTCTAGATTATGCTCCAATTCTGGGTTGAGATGCTGGAATATCTCAATATTTAGCCTCTATGTAGTCTCATCTATTTGACCAGACTCCTAAGATTTCAAACAGAAGTTCCTAAAGTTGCCTTAGAGCTCCAGCTTGATTACTATGCACTGAAATTCCAGATAGATTGGAGTTAAGTTTATAGATTTATGTGAAAAATTATCATTAGAAAAGAACATATAACTGTAAGGATGACTTTCTATAAAATGACAAATTACAAAAGTCATAAAGTTAAAAATTTGACTATATTTTAATTTAAAGCTATTGTATTTTAAAAGATGCCAAAAGATATGGGACACTTACTATCATCAGTAATAAAAAAAATCCTGTAGGAAAAATGATGAACTTTTTCACTATAACCATGGCTGCCTCCATCTTAAGGTAATGAACCAGATAACAATAAAGAAGCAAATTTCTGTACATAGGTGTTAGTCTGCAGTATAAAACTGCATTTTACTTGCCAAGTTTGGCAAGTAGAAGGAGCACCTCAATGAGTCAGTTTTCCTGGTTGACTGGAGAGGGTCAGGGGCTGTGTTAGGACTCAGTGTGTGACTCACTGCAGTGTTTACTCCTGGACCTTGGACTTACACAGTCAGTAGGTCTGCTCACAGCACTTTGACTCTCTCTGATGAACAGTTAGTGATTGTTAACAAATTAGGTCCCTGGAAAACACTCAGTGGGTGAACTTCCTTTTTTGAATCACTGAATCATTGAATCATAGGTCTAAAGTACATTTGTTTTTTAATTTTTTAAAATTTATTAGAAATTTTTTATTTTTCAATAAAAATAAATGCAATATTGTGCAATATTGTGTTAGTCTCAGGTATACAACATAGTGATTAAACATTTATATCACTTATGAAGTGATCACCCAAGTCTAGTACCCACCTGACACCATATGTAGTTATCACAGTATTATTGACATTCCCTATGCTGTACTTTACATCTCTGTGACTGTTTTTATAACTGGCAATTTGCCAAAGTACATTTAGTGTATTACAGTTGATGAATAGCAATAAATAATAGGGTTTTTTTTTCTGATTAAAAAATCCATATATGCAAAATCAAAAAGATTCATACTCCAACATATTTTTACAGCAATTCTAAGTCTGAAGGGAGAAGTACTTTGTTATTATTCATCATAAATTATTTTCTATGTTTTAAAATAAATATGCTGTTATTTTTAAAGACTCCACCTGTACAGCTTCATCATTATTAAAGAAACAAAATAAAACTAAAATCTGTCAAAATTTAGGGTGGCAAGGAATCCTTATGTTTTTATAAAAATTATTCCATTGCTCTGAGTGGTTTATGTGGTGTCAGGAATATATAGCTTTTATTTGCTATTTACATAAATATTTGCAGTTCTTTGAGTAAATAAATGTTTTTCTACCCTTGGTTTAAAGTTTGGGGCATATGATTTTCTCCTAGTCCCAATTTTATTTGACCTTCAGACACAAGTTTTCCATAGTTTTTGTTTGGTTTTAATCTTTACTTGGCTGGTTTCTGTGCCTTTGATTGGCTCAGGGCTTGGCCATATGTTAGAATTAAACTCATTATATATTTTTTCTTTCACAAATAAGCATTTTAAAAAGAAGTTTTAAGATGGAAACTTTCAAACCTATGCAGAAGGAGAGAGAATAGTATAACAAACCCCATGTACAATTATCAAAAATTTTCAACATTTAGTATTTATCTTTTTGATAAGAGAAGTAGGCAAAATATTACTAATGAAACAATGACAATGAAGTGTGACAAGTCTGTACTGATCAGACAAGAAAATTCCATTTTAATTGTTTTAAAATTTTTGAATTGTAAACTTAAGATTTAAATAAACATATTAAGTTATTAATATTTGGCTAACAAAGTATTGCTTAACAGAATGTGAGTAGAACTTATAGTTAATCATGTTATCAGCATATACTTATGTATAGTCTTGAGTCACTTTAAAATCATCTTTGGAGGCGGTAAGGGACAAATCATGAATAAAATACTCTCTTGTCACCTATAGTTTCAAGAGGGTTAATTTTATTTTTTCAGCTAGAGACTAAGAGTAGAAACTTCTCTGTCAGCACTTCCACTGAATTACTTTATGGCTTTGTAAATAGGAAATAGTAGTTTATTTGTTAATGATGCTGCCTAAGCGTTTACAAATTCTTAAAAACAATTTATGGAAGTTTTTTTAGTCTTGCCAACATTATGAATTTTATAATAAACTTTTTCCAAGATTATTTTATAAAAAGTAAGCTTAACCTTGATTTTATGACTACAATTTTAGTTAAGATTTAATGATATCCACAGCAATAATAGCTATCATTTTGCTCTTGCCACCCGCAAGGTTCTAAATAATTTCATTAAATCCTCATATCTATCTTTTGAGGATGCTCTTTTAAAAAACATTCTCATTTTGTAACATGAAAGTGAGGTTCAGGAAAGAAAAGTAATTGCCCAACGTCACACAACTGATATTACCTGGGATTTTTTAAACTGTATTTTCTGTTTGAGAAAGTGGTTCTTGTACTAAATAAAATGAGCAATTTGGTAAAACCAATAAATTTAAACTACAATATTAACTCTAACCATTGGTTTTCTTTCTTTTTGATGATAGGCTACTGAATTCAACCAGTGGAAGAATGTTCTATTTATCATACAGTTTCTTCTGTCCTGTTTTTTGGGGTAAGAAATGACACATAAGTACAAACTTTGGACTATGGTATCTCTTGACAAGTCAAATCAAAATATACATTGTGTCTGCTCTGTCAGAATCTCTTTGTGCTTCTCTAGTGTTCTCAAGAAAGTACTCCTGCAGCAGGGGGGTGGACTGGGACCCATGCTAAATGTTACATTCTACTCCAAAGTGATGTTCCCTGTTGAGTTCTAAAAGTTAGTTTTAAATGAAGTCAGCTGACATGTCAAATTCATTATTGTGTTGTTTTTGTCACAGTGTCCCGATATTTATCTTTCTCTATCTGACCCATTTCATTTAGCACAATACTCTCTAGGTCCATCAAGGCAATATCTTTTTACATTCCCTTCCTTTTAGTCCATGTGTGTCTTTTAATCTGAAGTGAGTGTGTTGTAGGCAGCATATGTAGGGGTCTTGTTTTCTTATCCATTCAGCCACTCTATCTTTTGGTTGGAGCACTTAATTCTTTTCCATTTGAGGTACTCA